TATATATATATATATATATATATATAGCTAACGTAGTCACAAGATACAAAGGTCATAGCTGTCCACACTGCAACTAATATAGTTACATGCTTTATATTGCTGCCAAATAATGTTAACAAATACGCTGTAAATCTCACTTTTCATGATTAACTTTGTAAGATAAAAAAGACAAAGACCTCCCCCCCCCTTGACTACTATTGCATTCATACTGTATGTTGTTCGTATGTAAAAATTTTTATTCGTGGGAAAATTGCAAACTCTATCCGCCGCCGGCCCTAATTTTGAACTACTGGCGAGAGGGGGAAAGCATCCAACCAGTATCACCCTACCAACCATCTGAGGATTTTGGTTGTCACTCTTATAACGCATATACAGCTTAAAGTGCGGGGAATATTTTTCGGTGTTGTACGGATTCTAACCCGTCTCGCCAGCTCCAAAACTTAGAGGTCTACTGCGCCCTCTTACGCGAGGAAGGCAATTGTAAGAAAAATAAATATATTTCAGAAGAGCAAATCTTCATCTATATGGCTCTTCTGATTTTTGGTATAAATGGTTCAGATGGCAATGAACAAAGCAAAGTAAAAGATACTCTTTTTCTACACTAACTGCAACTGTTTCGCTTGTAACGTGTTTGTCTTTTCGATATCATCAGACCGATATTGTTCTTTAACTAGTCTAGAATTCAGAAAGCCATTTAATACGATATTGGTTAACAAAAGCTTTTCTGGCCATTAGGCTCCCATTTATCAAAAAGAAAATGGCAAAACGTGAGTATCAGTTTACCATCAGACAATGATGTTTGTTTCAAAACCTGCGCCGTAACGTCAGAATTCTTTTTCAAGTTAAGTAGTAAATGTCACGTGATAATTTTAACCTTTCATAAATAATGCCTGGCTGATAGATTTTATCTTTCATAAATAATGCCTGGTTGAATTATTTTATTTTCACTGAGTATGCAGTTCTTGTTTGTTTGTTTGTTTTTAAAGCAAAGCCATAACGGGCTGTTTGCTGTGTCTACCGCAGGAATCAAACCCCGGGTTTTAGCGCGTTTTAAGTCCCTAAACGTACTGATGTTCGACCGGGGAATATGTAGTTCCTAATATATGATACTGAACAATAAAATCACTACGTTCTCATTAGGTTACATTCACACACAAAAAAAAAGAAATATTATCATTCAGAATGTAATATTTTGGAAATATCTTAAAGTCACACAACTTGGGGAATTTGTGACGATATGTTCGTATAATTTTCGTTTTTACGTGTGTTTTTTATGCCCAGCCCAGTGGAATGGGGAGAGAAATATTCGTACTAAATTCCAACAACTAGTTTGAGCAATAATGTTATTTCAAAATATTCAGTTTTTCAAAGCTTAATGGTTTACAGTAAAACTCGATAAATACATGTGTTGATCATTTTAACCTTTTTTTCTGAGATCTTACTTCTGTACTTTTAGTAAACGATAACACTATCAAGATATGTAATGAAATATCTTTTGGAGTAAAATGTGTCATCACGAGATTTTCTGACTCTTCGAATCGGCACGCGTCTACATAACAGATATATTTTATTACTACCAATCGTGATTTGATTCGATTATGGGTTACCACTGAGCAAGTTTGCAATTCTGTAATTTCAGTAACGCTCAACCATCGTTGCATGAAGTTACTGGCCCTTCATCTCTTCCAATGTTCAAAATTGAATGCTAAATTTTCCTTTAAGAATTTGCCACATGGGTGGTTGAACAACATAAGACTCAAGAAAAAAAAAGGCTTAAGTCCTCCACTCTTCTAAAAACGAAATACAATTATGAACTCATAAGCTATGCAGTGAGATTTTTAATTAGCATATAAAAGTAAAGTTATCAAATAAGACTTTTTTTGTATCACGAGCAATATTTTGATGAAGGTGAAAGATAAACAGATTTGTATTTATATGAATAATACAAGGTGTTAAAACAAAGCAATCACTTGATTTACATGCAAACATATCTATAATGTTGCTTAATCGGCATTTTATTTCATTACATAAGCATTTTAGTATGGAAACACACAACAAAATATTAAAACAAAGCAATCACTTTGATTTACATGCAAACATATCTATAATGTTGCTTAATCGGCATTTTATTTCATTACATAAGCATTTTAGTATGGAAACACACAACAAAATATTATTGGTATATGTTGTACATTGATTTACTATCATTGAAATTAATTTAGAACTAT